GCAGAGATGGCTTCCTGGAAGTCCACAGGCACCTACGTTGACGCTGTTCCCCCTCCTGGGGCGAACATCGTCAGTGGCATGTGGATTTTCAGGGTGAAGCGGCCGCCGGGTTCTCCGCCTGTCTTCAAGGCGCGTTACGTGGCTCAAGGCTTCAGTCAGCGGCAGGGAGTTGACTACTTTCAGACCTTCTCTCCCACCCCGAAGATGACCACTCTTCGGGTACTGCTGCACGTAGCTGCTCACCGTGACTACGAGCTACACTCTCTTGACTTCAGCACTGCTTTCTTGCAGGGCAGCCTGCACGAGGAGATCTGGCTGCGTCGCCCACCTGGTTTCACTGGGTCTTTTCCTCCTGGCACCCAGTGGAGCCTACGGCGGCCAGTCTACGGTCTCCGCCAGGCACCGCGTGAGTGGCACGACACACTGAGGACTACACTTGCGGCTCTTGGGTTTGCTCCCTCTACTGCCGACCCGTCGCTGTTTCTGCGCACCGACACTTCTTTGCCGCCGTTCTACATCCTCGTGTACGTCGACGACTTGGTCTTTGCCACAGCTGACACTGCTGGACTCGCCCACGTGAAGTCCGAGCTGCAGAAGAGACACACGTGCACTGACCTGGGTGAACTGCGCAGCTACCTTGGCTTGCAGATCACTCGGGACAGAGCACGCCGCACCATTACCCTGACTCAGTCACACATGGTGCAGCAGGTCCTTCAGCGCTTCGGCTTCACGTACTCCTCGCCTCAGGCCACTCCTCTGCCTACTCGCCACTCGCTCTCAGCTCTGCCTTCGGATGAGTCCGTAGAGTCGAGTGGCCCGTACCCAGAGCTTGTTGGCTGCCTCATGTACCTGATGACCTGCACACGACCTGACCTTGCATACCCTCTTAGCATTCTCGCACGCTATGTTGCTCCTGGGAGACACAGACCGGAGCACATGGCTGCAGCGAAGAGGGTGTTAGCGCTACTTGTGCAGTACGTCGGGCATGGGGCTTGTGCTTGGAGGGCAGAGTCCAGTGGTCCTTACTGGGCACGCAGACGCTTCTTGGGCTGACGACCAGGCTACGCAGCGGTCGTCACAGGGTTACACCTTCAGCCTTGGTTCCGGCTCTGTTTTGTGGCGGGCTACTCGCTCGTCTTCTGTTCTCGGCTCCAGTTGTGAGGCTGAGATCTACGCAGGAGCCATGGCTGCACAGGAGCTTCGCTGGCTCACCTACCTGCTGACTGACCTCGGAGAGCCGCCTCGTTCTCCTCCAGTGCTGTACGTAGACAACAAGGCCATGCTGGCCTTGTGTCGGGAGCAGCGACTGGAGCACAGAACGAAGCACATTGCTCTCCGCTACTTTCTTGCTCGTGAGCTGCAGCAGCGTGGTCAGCTGCGTCTTGCGTACGTGGCCTCTGAGGCCAACACTGCTGATATCTTCACCAAGGCGCTTGCGCCTTGTGACCATCAGCGCTTCTGTACTCAGCTGGGCCTTGTGCCTACCTTGCCTCACTTGCTCACCTCTTGACCGTGCTTGTACTGTTACATATATATATACCTGCTCTTGCTTGTCTAGCCTTTTTATATATATGTACTCCTGCATGTGAACTGGCCTTGTGGCCTTGAACTTGTGCTCGGAATGTGTGGTGACTTTGTGATATACCCTGAGCTTGCTTTGCTTTGCTTTACTTGACTGGTCTTGTGACCCCTTGTTCTCCCCCACTTTGCCTATGGGGGTGTGTCAGAACATTATAGCTCATGCATATTGTGTAGGCTATAGTGGGGTAGCCCATAAGGGGTACAACCCAATTAGGGTTATTACTTGTACTCAATTCATTCATAGTTCATTCATTCCTTGTTTCTTCTCAGGCAGCCCGCAGGGGCGACGCGACGGGCTAAGGCAGCCCGCAGGGGCGACGCGACGGGCTAGGGCAGCCCGCAGGGGCGACGCGACGGGCTAAGGCAGCCCGCAAGGGCGACGCGACGGGCTAGAGGCAGCCCGCAAGGACGACGGTTTTTTTTTTTTTTTTTTTTTTTTTTTTTTTTTTTTTTTTGAACGACGGCGCTAGTAGGGGCGCTCGACGGCGCTAGAAGGGGCGCTCGACGGCGCTAGAATGGGCGCTCAACGGCGCTAGTAGGGGCGCTCGACGGCGCTAGTAGGGGCGCTCGACGGCGCTAGAAGGGGCGCTCGACGGCGCTAGTAGGGGCGCTCGACGGCGCTAGTAGGGGCGCTCGACGGCGCTAGTAGGGGCGCTCGACGGCGCGGCGGAACGGTGGGCCCAAACCAACGTCGGTCCTAGGTCCTGACCTATGCGTCGGATACCATGTTAGAAACTAGAAGTGAACGAGAATGAATGAACTAGCAGAAAGTTGGGTACAAGTAGGAAACCCTAAGTTTGTTGTACCCCCTAAGGCTAAACCCACTATAGCCTACACAATGTAAACATATAATGTTTGACAGAAACTGCACGAGCCTGGGGTACATTTGAATCGGTGTGTCCGTCTTGCACACAAACACGATGCTCCGCATTAGCCGTGAAATCCGCGCACCCTCCGGATCGCCCTTCGCGAAGTCGTCGATGCGTTTCTGCTCCTCGATGGTCTTCATCAGTCCCATTTGCTTCTTCATGGCATCGTCGTGCTTCACGCTCTCCTCGTGCCAGCGAAAGGACCCAATCTGGAGGTCCCGACCTCCTTTCCCATTGCGGCCGTAGCGAGCATCGTCCTTCCCGTGCTCTATACAGACACTGCAGCGAACACAAGGAAAACCGTCAGTCGATTTATCAAGGATTAACCATGGGAACCGCGGAAGCCCGTCCGCCGTGTAGCTATTCTGGGCCTTCAAATACAACTTCTCCTTCTTCTCTTGTGCGGTGAGTCGGACTACAGGTGGTGTTTTTTTGGCAGGTGGCGGCGGAGTCGGTGCAGGCTTAACGGGCTGCAGTCCAACCCCGAGCACGGACTGCGTGAAGCGCCGCTTCTTCGGCGTCTGTGAGGCGGTCGAGTCTGGCACAGACGCATCCACGACCTGTGTTGGTGCTGTCTCGGCCGGTTCAGCGATGCTTGGGTGGTGCGATCCATCGCACACCTCGTTCCGTCCGTCGTGGTCTTCATCTTCTTGGCGTGGTGATCGCACCCACACCTCGACCCCATCGGAATGCTCATCGTCATCCAGTCCATCCCGACGATACCAATCGTCGCCTCCCCAGTCGTCACCACCGTCATCTTGCTGCTCGCCTTCGTGCTCGTGGGAACGATGGACCCCGCGCAGAAACTCCAGACCCGTGATAGGGCGAGAGCTGCATGACGGGCCGAGATCAGGATCAGGCGCAGCACTGTCAGCGTTGTCTGCGTCGTTAGCCATCTGTGGCAAGGCTGCAGGAAAAGGGTGGCTTGAGGCATGGTAGTGATGCTGGGTACGCAAGGTGCCTGATCACGGATTGAGGAAATGGATGGAGAAACAGGGGTTCACCCCCTGTGAGCCAGCCGAGCACTAGCAGGGCTTGGCCGCGTCGCCCACGTTTACACCTTCCGTGCGCTGTATCATTCCTCGATCCTGACTGAAGTTCAGATGTGTTGCCACCACACATCCCACGGAGGACAGTGGATGTGGCTAACAATGTGCGTTGGCTGGGAAAATTGCCACTCCAGCCAATTAGCGCGCAAAATGCCGCCAACACACAAAGCGAATCTTGATGATGTGCTCGGCGACTCGGGGAAACCCCGGTAATTGGGGAAAGGGGGGGGGGGGGGGGGGGGGGGGGGGGGGGGTTCGGCTAGGGGGCCTGTATCCTCTGTACAGAGTAAACACTATCCTTAGAAAAAAAAAACCCAGGGGCCTCAGAGTGACCTATACCTAAACTCTGATACATCAGAGAAAACACAACTACCAAAATCATAACCCAGCAGGTACAGAGTTCCTCTCAAAAATAACTCTGATTTTCAGAGAAACAGAGTAATTTACTCTGATAACGTGGGCCCTGCGCGAGACCTTGGAGTTAGTAGCTGAATAGTATGCAGGACTCCTTGTTCCATAAGGCACAATGTCCGTCAGTTGGACACGAGAAGTGTACCTATAGCTTCGTAACAGTAAAGCGGTTCCGAAACTATTATCAATGTTACCAACTGACACATGGTCTTCACAAGCGAGCCGCTTAAAGCCGTCAGGCGGAATCCATGGCGGACCTGTCATTGTCATGGACCTAACAATTCTAGTGATAGAGTTCAATGTTCCTACAAGCGGAGAGAGCACAAATGCGCTATCGCACTAGGGCCTGGCGCACCCATAAATCTGACCGTTCATTCTGGAAGATTCAAGCTCGAATTTGCTGGTTCGGTTTGGCCAGCTGGTTCGGTTTGGCAAAGCAACGAGGACCCATCAACATTTTGAAGTCTCACATCTCGAGAGTTTTGCTCAATCTCGCGGAATCGCGCTTCGTTTTATTATCGCCACGTGGCATGCCTTTGATCGAGGGAACCGCGATGTGTTTTATTGTTCCCACAACTTTCAAGAGAAATCTAGTTAAGTTTAGTGGGTCACATGTACTGCGCTGCCCGCGGGCAAAAATAAACCCCTATAGGAAAGGCATGCGTTAGGGATGCATCAATCCTAAACACCTTGCCTCTAGGTGTTTAGGGTTGATGCCTCCCTAACGCATGCCAGGCCCGAATGGGTTTTATTTGTGCCCGTGGGCAGCGCAGTACATGTGACCCACTAAACTTAACTAAATAAAATTTGAAATGTGTTGGAACAATAAAACAGATCGCGGTTCCCGCGATCATAGGCAGGCCACGTGGCGATAATAAAACGAAGAGCGATTCCGCGGGATTAAGCAAAATTCTCTCACATCTCACTCGCCAGCGTAGCGCAACTTGCTTCCGTGGCGAAGTAGTTTTGCTCTTGCTCCACTAACCTACACCCTTCAAACTAGGTGACACCTTGATTTATGTTTTTAGTTTCTGTGCTTTGTGTAGCGTACAGCCAGACAGCAATCTACCGCGAAAATCCTGACAACGAAATGGCGATGACAGCGCGCGACATGCAGGTGAGGCTGAGGGAGATGCTGAACGGCATGGTGCTGAAGGTGCAGCTGGAGGAGACGGCAGGAGGCGTGGGGGAGCGCGTGGCAGCGTTGGAGGCGAAGCTGAGGGAGCAGGGCGACGCCATGGCTGCCATGCAGCGCGACATGGCCGACATGCGCCGCGCCATGGTCCTCTTCAAGGGCATGGCGGCGACGGGCGGTTTGGCCGAGAAGAGTGAGGGGGAAGGGGCTGGAAACGGGAACACATCGGGAGAGGCAGCGGAAGGCAGTGGCACGCTGCCGGTGAAAGGCGCGCGGGATAACATTTTCTCTGCGATTGAGGTGGAGGAGGTGAAGGCACAGGTGGAAGCTGCAAGGGGGGAGGCGCGGGACACGGCGAGTGAGATGCGCGGGGAGATGGCCGCGCTGAAGGCGGAGCTTGCGCGGATGAGGGCTGCGGCGGAGCGGCAGGCGGCGGAGGTGGCGTACGTGAAGGCGACGGCGGCGCACTCGGAGGCGCGCATCAACGACGTCGAGCTGGCGCTCGCCGCAATCAAGGCCGGCCGCGTGGAGAAGAGCCGCGCCGAGCGCGAGGCGGGCAGCGGGGAAGGGCAGGCGGCGGAAGAGAGGCGCGAGGGGAAGAGGCGGAAGAGGGAGGAAGGGGCAGGCGAAAAGGGGGGAGTGGCAGATGTTGCTGCGGGCGCTGGGTGTGCGCTGATTGCTAACGGTGGTGCGGTTGTAATAAAGCGGGAAGAGGTGGAAAGGGATGGCGAAGCGTTGGGGTTGAAGAATGGTGCAGTGTGCAACACAAAGGCTGAGCTGCAGAACCTGAGGGCGCGAGTGAAAGCGCTGGAGAAAACGAGCGCCTCCAGAAGCAAGACGTGGGAGGTGAGTTCCAAAGTTTTCTTTGCTTTCGTGCGTTGATAAAACAGATCTGCCATTAGCACCTGCACCACGCGCAGCACGCATGGTTGCATGTGTTTAGCCTTCTTGTTGCCAAAATGCTTCGTGTACCATAACCCGTTGCTCAGGCCAGTTCCTCTCCGTATTGGATCTTCCTGCTGTCCGTGGCTGCAGGCAATGGAGCGAAGCGGTTCCAGACATGGCTCTCATGGACCTCAGTGGCGTCTCCCTCCTCACTGACGCTGCTCTTGCAAGAGTCGCCTCCTTCTCCTCTCTAACCACACTCAACCTCAACGACTCCTCCGGCTTCACTGAAGCAGGGCTGAAAGGGCTCTTTTCTCTCACGACTCTCAAATGTCTGACTTTACAGAATACAGCCACAACAGACGGGGCTCTTGAAGGCATTTCCAGCTTGAAGGATCTTCGCGTGCTTGATCTCTTCCACACCAAGGTAACGGATGCGGGAGTAGCCAAGCTACAGGGGATGTCTGCACTTGTGGAACTGTTTCTAGGTGACTGTACGGCGGTCACCAATGCCAGCATGGCGCATGTGGGGAAGCTGACAGCACTGGAAACTCTCACTCTGAGTGACACGGCAGTAACGGAGGATGGGCTGCAGCGCTTGAGTACGCTCGCTGCACTGAAGCTCCTCGTCTTGCCTCCAGGGGTGACTGATTCCGGCATGAAGCACCTGAGGAATTTGAAGCGCCTGGAGAAGCTGGGGGTTTGGGATGCTAAGATCACTGCTGCTGGTGTGAAATGGCTCAAGGGCCTCAAGTGGCTTCAAGCAATTGGAACAGACGCTGAAGACGTTGAAGAGTTTATCAGAGACATCTTTCCTGGAATGGTCGTGACACCAGGCCCACTCTGATCGTTCTCTCAAATGGCACACCTACCAGATAGGAAATAAGGAAATTGTGATGCAATGCAAGTTTTCTTAGACATGTTCAGACCTGCCCTTTCTCTTGCGCTTAAAGCGACGGGCAACTTTTGGCAGTGTTGGGTTCAGAATTTTTTTTTTGAACCAGGCTTGCCAGCGCGAAAGTGCTGGCTGGCGAAAACCAGGATTTCGTGCGGACACTTTCCATCCGCAGTAACAGTTCGCCAGGGTTCTGGGTTTTGGGTGGCAAATGTGCACCGTCGCTTTAAACTGCATTAGTTCCTTCCTATTCTTTCATGTATCAACAACTTTGTTTTGCTGGAAAGGTAACCATCCATTTAATCACTCTTTGGAGGACTTACTGCAGAAAATAAATGAGACCTTCTGGCGAGTTGCTCTGCTGAACTACATGCTTTGGCTTTCATCAGTGCACGTCACCGTTCACTCCCCTTGTCTGCTCGAGCAGATCTGTACCCGCGCACCTGGCTTCCGCTTCGCACCTTTTCATACCTCAGTCGCGTTCGTCACTTCCCTGCGCGTCGCACTGCGCACGCGTCGCCGCTGCTCAGTCCCTCCGGTGACTCGCTCGCAAACGCGAAAATTCTTATGAACCATAGGCGTAATAGGCGGTGAGCAATGGGCGACCAGCAGGTGGTGGGCGAGTCTCTCAGCGTAAGGCCCAAGCGCTTTGCGCCGGCGGCGCTCGCGGAGACGGCGAAAGCGGGGTTTCGACTTCTGCCCCTCCACGCCCTCCCACTTCGCCGCCACCAACTCCACTCGCGTGTACCACCTGTTCTTCTCAGTCTCGACCTGTGTGTGCGCGTTGGTAACACGCGCAACTCCCAACCCCCCTGTGCGTGTGACGCCACGAACCCCATGGCAGGTGACGGTGTACAGTGGCGTCACCAGAGAACCGCTTAAAGCCTTCTCTCGATATAAAGGACTTGTGAGGCCTCCTTACCCCTCCATAGCCTCCCATCCCATCCGTGTCTGGCCTGTCGGCATCCTTTCAAACCTCCCCAAAGCTCAGTTTTCCAAAGCTCATCCTTGCAACGGTTGTAAGCACACCCCCTCTCGCATTGCTACACCTGATCCTTCTCTCCCGCCCGCCCTCCTCCCGTGTCTTCGCCCCTCCCTTTCCCTTCCCTCCCGTCCCCGCCTCTCCTTTCCCGTCCCCTCCCGCATCCTCCCCTCCCGCGACCACTGTGCTTCCCACTTTCCCCTCCCCCATGACAGCCCCCTGTGCCCGGCCTGTGTCCCCCCCAGGGCAGCGCACCCCTGCCCTGACTGACTGCACGACGCAGCCTGCCATCCGCCCGCTGTACGCCTGCATGCCATGCGCGCGGGTGGGGCAAGGAGGGAGGGGATCGGAAGGGGAGGGTAGGGAAGGGAAGGGGAGGGAAGGGGAGGGGAGGGGAGGGGAGGGGATGGGTGGGCAAGGGCAAAAGCGGACGGGAGAGGGGCGCGGGAGGGGAGGATACGGGAGGGGACGGAGGGGGAGTGAGGGGGGCTGTGGGGCAGTGGCACGGGCTCATGGGGTAGCTTAGGGGAACAGGGGCTGTGAGATGGGCGAAGGCATGTTTGTGTCTCCACTCGCATGTGCTTCGCCTGCTGCACTCTACCCGTAAGTGAATCACCTTGGTTTTCTGCACCTGCTGCTGTTCCCCGGACCCTGGCCTCGACTTTTCAGTCCCCTCCCCGCCTCATGTGCCTCATGCACGCACGATGCCTACCCCACTTCGCTGTGTCCCCACTCTTCTCGACCATATGCTACTTGCGAGTGGGGTATTGACGTTCTCCCTTCATACCCCCCAGCACTGTTTCCACCCCGCTGTCCTGTTCCTTCACCTACCATTGTTCCCCCTCCTCCTCTTCCCCTTCCCACCTCCTCCCCCCTACTCTGTCCTCCTCTCATTCCCAACTGTCCCCCTGCATGTGGGCGCGTACAGGTGTTTAACGCCACGACAGTGCTGAGAGTGCGCAGAGTATTCAACGGCCACACGGAGTACCCATGCACGCTCACATGCACGCTCACATGCACGCCTCCCCCCCCCTTTCCGTCCCCTATCCTTCGCTCCCTTCCCCTCCCCTCTTCTTCCATCGCCTCCCTCCCCCTCACCCCCCTCGCGGAGTAATAAGTCTCGACCTCCTTTGTCCCCTGCCTGCGCTGTTATCTCCCCGCTGCCCCGTTTCTTAGCCTACCATTCTGAACTCCCCTTCGCTTCCCTTTCCCCAATCCTCCCTCCTCCCCCCCACCCCCACTCTCCTACCCGTGTCCTCTCCCCTCAGCTGTCCCTCCGTGTGTGGGCGCATACAGGTCTTCAACGCCACGACCCGCACAGTGCTGAGACACAGAGTACGCACGCACGCCCATGCTCAGTTCACTTGCACAATCACCAACCGTCCCACCCACCCACCCACCCACCGACACACACACATCGCTGCCAACTGCCCAGTCCTCTGTGTTGCCTCTCGTTCTCTCCCATTTCCGACCTCTTTGTTCTGTTCGCCTGTCCTTCCTGCCTTCCATTCCTGCTCCTGCTGCACATCGCATGCTCTCATCTCTCTACGTCTTGCCTCCACTCTCCACTCGTAACGCCTCTCACATTAAGTCCGCCCCCCGACTCTCCACTTGTATTGTCCATCTGTTTAGTCCCACCATCTACCATACTATCTCATCATTCCTCAAGCCTCACAGCATCATCTCTTCTTACTCGCCCTCTCTATTTCCTTCATCCCTCACCTTTCTCTCCTCTTCCCTCCCTTCCCCTCTCCTCCTCTCCCTTCCCCTCCTTACAGAGAGTCTGCAGGTGGCAGTACGGGACATGCTAAAGGGCCGGGGGTCAACCACACCTCTCCCTTCCTCACCCTAGCAGCGTCAGTGACATCGCACTCACAGCCGCTGTACATACTGTACATGTGAAGGCCGTCACGTGCCTGCACATGTTGCCCAATATACATGGTCCGTGGCCAGATGGATGGAAGAGGCTGCGGTGGCTACTGCTGCTGCTAATCATGTCTCTTGTTGATTGTTTTCATTCCTCCTGCTACCATCTCCCGGTCTTGTGTGTGTGCATGCATCCGTGCATGCTCCACATGCACCAAGCACCAAGTCCCGCCTCCACCTGCTGCCACCCACCAGCATCGCTGCCAGCAGCATCGCTGCCACTGCTCAATTTACCACACCTAATCTCAAACCTTTTCTCTTGTCCTCCCAACCTCGCTCTCCTGTTCCCCATGTGTCCCGTCCGCTTCCTTCCCTCCCTACACCGTCACCACAGATGGGGATGTGGGGATGTTGGGCCTTGTGGGCCTTGTGGGCCTTGTGGGCCTTGTGGGCCTTGTGGGCCTTGTGGGCCAGGCTGAGGACTACCAAGTGGCACAATGAAAGGGGTGCATATAGGACCCACGGCAAGCAGCACCACCTCATCCCACTCCCCTCGCCCAGCTCCTTCCCGATCCCATCCCTGCAACCACCCCCCTCCCATTTGCATGCCAGGCAGAGGATTGCCTATGGGCGCAGTGCAAGCGCGTTCATGTCACAGGGGAGTGAGAGCATGGCGAGTGAAGGGAGGCAAGTGAGTGCGGCAACAACAGCAAGGTAACAACATGGGCATTCTCCATGGTGCCTCCCATGGCAGCAGGGCAGCAGCGGCACAGCAAGACCTGACCTGGTCATCATGTGGCAGCACCCTTCATGGTGGAACACTACCCAGTGGCTCCCGGTAGCCGTGGCGGTGCTTGAGAGCCCCTGTTGTCTAGCGGTGCACGACAACTAGCTGCGGCGCTTTCAACACTCCGCTGCCCTCCCAGCCGCCATGCAAGACGCGTCGCTCGAGAAACCAGAGGTCAGCCAGGGGTGACAGGGGTGAGACAAGAGAGGGGGGAGGGAAGGGGAGATTGGTGTGGTGGGTGCATTGCATGCATGTCTGTCCGGTTGACTGCTGCTCTCAGAGCCGCCATGCAGGACGTGCTTGCTGGGCGAGAGAGGAGAAGGGGGATATGGGGGGTGGTGTGTGGGGGGGAGGGGGGGAAAGGTGGGGGAGGAGCATGACGGGGAACGGGGGGGTTTGCTGTGAGGGTGCACATGTCTGTCTGCTCGCCGGCTGTGCTCTGAAACCACCATGCATGCAGTGCCCCTTTCACCTTTTATAGACCCCTTTGTCTATTCCATCTCACCTTTGATATCCCTCGCTTGTCGTTCTTTCCTGCTTCTTCCATCTCTCCTTGCTGTTGTTTCCCAGAATTCCTTGCTTCCTCTCTCTCCTCTTGCTCTCTGCTTCCAGAGTCTGATGTCAGTGCACCTCGTTACTAGAAAGGAGATGCTGTGCCGTCTCTCCGCCAGTCCCCCCATTACAGAATATCGATTTTTCCCTCCCTCTCCCTCCTCCTTCCTACCCACCCTTCCTTCCTGTCCACTCCCTCCCCCCCCCCCTGCTCGCCCCTCGTTCTCCCCCCTTTTAGATGCTGGTGGCGGTGTTGGAGGAGATGGTAGCGCGCAACCCCCACCCACCCGTCCTCTCCCTCCTCTCCCATTCTCCTTCTCCTCTCAGATGCTGATAACGGTATTGGAGGAGATGGTAGCGCGCAACGTGCTGGCCAATGCCATTGCCGTGCTGCCAGTCAAGTCGCTCAGCCGCTTCCTGCAGTTCTGCCGAAAGTAAACCGCCTTGCTTGCATGCCCTTGCAGAGCCGCTCCCTCTGCCATTGCATCCCACCTGCCTCCACCACTCTGCATTCTCCTACCCTGCAGTCATCACACCACCACCCTGCAGTAACCCCCGAGCCCCCTGTCACAGTCGCACCACCCCACCCTGCCTCTCCCATCCATACCCTCCACACCCTGCTCGGTGCATCTTTCCTACCTCATCTTAACCCCTTTCTCTATCAGACTATCACTGAGCTCACCTCTATTCCCTTCCCGCCTGTACCCAAACTGCAGTAGGGGGAACGTACACTGTATCTAAGAAAGCTTTTCTTTCCACTTGTTTTTCTCTATCGGAGTCTGCTGCTGCAGTTCCATGTTGTGCAACTGCCTGCTTTTGTTTTCTCGCTCCTCCACACTCGTGCCAGTCTCCCTCCAACTCTGCAATACCCCCATGCTTCCCTCCATTCAACCACTTTCCTCCTCTCTTTTTTGGCTTCACACTTTGACTCCCCACCACCGAATCGATCAACCCCCACCAACAAACCTCCACCCCTTCTCCCCCTCCCCAGTTCCACATGTTAGCGCAGGTGGTGGGGGCGGAGGCGCATTTCTTTTCATTTCTATCAGTCTCCCCCTCCACTTCCATTTCTCCCCCCCCCCCCCCACCCCCACCAGTTCCACATGCTAGCACAGGTGGTGGGGGCGGAGGTGGTGTTTGTTGTTCATTCCTCCTGTCCTGTCCATATTTCCCCCCTCCCCCAGTCCCACATGCTGGCGCAGGTGGTGGGGGCGGAGGCGCATGCTTCCGTCTATTCATCCCCTTCCTCGTCTTTCCCCCTTTTGCGCCCCCCCTCCCCCAGTTTCACATGCTAGCGCAGGTGGTGGGGCGGAGGTGGTGTTTGTTGTTCATACCTCCTGTTCCCCCCATGCTTCCCCTCCCCCCCTCCAGTTCCACATGCTAGCGCAGGTAGTGGGGGCGGAGGCGCATTTCTTTTCATTTCTATCAATCTCCCCCCCACTTCCATTTCTTCCCCCCCCCCCAGTTCCACATGCTAGCGCAGGTGGTGGGGGCGGAGGCGCATGCGCTGGCAGAGCTGGCGGAGCTGCAGGGCTTTGTGCTGCCGCTGCTGCGCACCTCCACTGCTGCCAGCCTGCCACCGCCACCGCCACTTCAGAGGTCGATGCCATCGCCGCTGCTGCCACCCTCCAGGGAGGAGGCATGGAGGATGGTGTGGCTCTGCTCTTTTGTGTGCCTTAGCTTAGCTTAGGGGAGGCGGCTGGGCTGGGGATGGAAGGGAGGAGGGTGTTGGTTATGCTGAGAAAATATATCAATGACGCTTCATGTATCGAAATTCGCGCAAATACCGTATGCTCCCCTAGTTCAAGTTACTCAACTACTCAACACAGCATACATCAATGAGTCAGGAGGATCCCAATTGTCTATGCGCACTGAAGCCCGAACTCTGTCGATTGCATTGCATTTGCATTGGTAAATGGTTGCAGCTGTCCTAACTGATACAGGCGCACTGAGATATGGTACCAAACATGGGGCATTCGACATGGAACTATCAAACTATCAGTTTAGACTGTCTCTGACAACTACTTCAGGGAAGCTGTCCCTAATCAGACCTTCTGCATTCTCAGATGCCGTTGCAATCACCTGAAGGCTCTTGAGCCCGTTGAGCCATTTCACACCGTCAGCAGTGACATTCGCATTCCACAGCCCCAGCTTCTCCAGGCGCTTCATGTTCCTCAGGAGCTTCAGGGTGGCATCGGTCACACCTGGAGGCAGGCTGAAGAGCTTGAGGGAGGTGAGAGCTGTCAGATGCTTCAGCCCGTCCTCCTCCACTGCACTGCCACTCGGCCAAAGAGACTCCAGTGACGTCAACTTTCCAACATGCACCATGCTCGCAGAGGTGACTGACTCACAACCATTTAAGGCCAGAGTCACGAGTGGAATCAACCCCCGCAGCTTCGCTATCCCTGCATCGGTTATCATGGTCTCACCAAGATAAAGTGCGTTAAGATGTTTTAGGCTGCTAATACCTTCAAGAGAAACGTCCGATGCATTTGTCTGCGCCAGATCCAGCAGCCTGAGGCCCGTGAGGGAGAAGAGCTGCGTTAACCCCTCTGCAGTGAACCCGGAGGAGTCTCGAAGGCTGAGCCACGTGAGAGAGCGCAGGGAGGAGAGCCGAGAGAGAGCAGCGTCGGAGAGGCTCACACAGCTGCTGAGCTCCATGCGAGTCTCGCTGGGAGCAGCCTTGCTCCACAGCGTCAGCAGTGCCTGCAGCCACGGGTGAGCAGCGAGGTCAAACAAATAGGTTGTGGCGAGTGAGATGGATTGGCATGAGCATCTTCCATCAGCCATCCGTGCCCCAACAATATTAGAAAGAAAAGACCAAGTACACCGATGAAGCACTCACCTCCCACGTCTTGGCACCCGGGCCATTCTTCTCCAGCGCCACCACGCGGTCACACAGCTCCTGCAGCTCAGCCTCCGCGTCGAAGTCCTCCTCTCCATTCGCCCCCCACTCCTCCTCGCTCTCGCTTTCCGCCTCATTCCGCTGTCCTTCAGCCGCACTACCTCCAACAGTTAGCGTAGGCTCGGTGCCCGCAGCAGCACCAGCCATGTCCCCCTCCTTCCCCGGCGACTCCTCTGGCTTCCGCTTCTTCCTCGCGCCGCCCTCATCGGGCTCGTCGCGGCGCTCCCCCGTCTTGCTGTTCGTGAGCGCGGCGAGCGCCAGCTCGACGTCGTTGATGCGCGCCTCCGAGTGCGCCACCGTCGCCTTCACTTCCGCCACCTCCGCCGCCTGCCGCTCCGCCGCAGCCCTCATCCGCGCAAGCTCCGCCTTCAGCGCGCCCATTTCCTCGCCCTGCTCCCTCAGCTTCGCCTCCAACGCCGCCACGCGCTCGCCCTCGCCGCCCGCCATCTCCTCCCTCTTCATTGTCAGTACCACGCCGTTCTCGCTGGAGAGGTGTCTGATTGGACCGGTAGTGCTGAACTCGCGCACTAGCAGCACATACTGCTTCGACCAATCTGTCGGATAAAGAATCGCATAAGGTGGGGTGTGAACGTCCAGCCGTGGGGCGCCGTAGGATGGACAGAAAAGCGCAGCGGAGATCGAAGTGGTGGTGGCGAGGCTGGAGAGCGACTCACCAGACTTGTAGACGTGCCGCTCGCCTTGATGCTCTGCTATTTTCGATCGGGAGGGAAGTGGGCATGCATGATGTGAGAGGGCGGTGTTGGTTTTGCCAGCTACACCTAGCCCCTCGGCAATTTCACGTCTGTGACTCGTTATTCAATCATCCAACAAAACCTGTAGTCGAACATCATTCCAATTTGCACTCATATGATACAAATTTGTTGAACACAAAGAACCCTCGCTATCAATGTGACTGTCGGTTTGCCCTCGAGCTGGGCTGTCTAAACAAGCCAAATCACTCATCACCGCGAAAGAAGTGAAGTGACGATTCAGTCCCGACCCAGCCTGCTGAACCGACCCTCGCCATCCATGGTCGCGCGAGATATTAACGGGCACAGAGTATTCTCGAAATATGCTTGAGAGGAGATATGCATGAGCAGCACCCCATGAGACGAGTATCAAGCACCTGCGTGTTCCCAGGTTCAGGCCCGCGTGCGGCGGCGCAGCACGTGGTTTGGGGCGGCATTTAGCAAGGGGGGAGCTGCCCTCAAGTCGCCCGCAGCAGCACCTCGTGAGCGAGCGCAACCGCAGCCCAACACCTCGCGCAACGGCGTCGCCGCGTACCACTCCTCCCGCAACTCGTGGCTCCGCTTCTTCGTTCCCGGCCCCAGCAGCAGCGGCAGCGGCGGCGGTAGCAATGGGCGGATCGGGTCGTGGCTGCTGCTGCTGTGCCTTGTCCTCGGGTTCGTGAAGTGGGAGCAGCACAGGCACGTGTTTCCGTGGAAGAGCGGAACCGAAAGCGGCGCGCACGTTCGTTCCGCCCAACCGAAAGCGGCGCGCGCGGAAGCTCGCGGCCAAGAATAAGGCGCAGCCGAAGGGGGGAATCAAAACGGCGCAGATCTGCGCGGGCGGGGGCGCGGATAAAAAGGCGGGGGCGGGGGGGAGCAAGAGATTGCAAGCGGTGGGCGGAGGAGATGCGGGAGCTGGGAAGAGTGGCGCAAGTGGCGCGGGGAAGGACAAGGAGTCCACGGGACGCGCAAGCGAGGCCATGGGGAAAAGTGTGACCGGCAGCGAGGCTAAGACAGGAGATTCTCAACTGGAACGGGCACAGTCGGGGATGGTGGTAGCAGTGCCATGAGGAGCAGCAGCAGCAGCAGCAGCCAGCAGCAGTGTGAGCAGCAGCATTGGTAGCGGAAACGAGAGTGGGAGGGCGGGTGCAGGTGAGAGGAGTGAAGTGGGCGAGAGGGCGGATGGGGGCGGCGGTGGGGAGGCGTCTGGTGGCAAGAGCGGGTGGTGGCACAGGCGGCGAGACGGGGAGCGCTAATCCCCGTGCACCAACAACAACAGATACCGCAAAATTTGAACATGGGCTGATTCAAGGGGACAACGAAGGGGAACCAGATAGCTGAGAAAAATGTGGACTTCTATAAACGCCGCAAGGCCACCAACAGCAGCAGCAGCAGCAGCAGGGAGGGGGTGATGGGAGGTGCGGAGGGCGAGGGGGTGTGCGTGGGGGAGGAGTGTCCGGTGTTTGGCAACTGTGAGGGCGAGTTGATTGGCGTGGCGGCGTGTTGGAACAAAGGCCTGCACGACCCCTTGCTCGCCCGCCCCCGCTCGCCCTCCACCTGCCCTCGCTTGGGACCTGCCGCTGCCACTAACTCCTCTGCTGGGACTCGCCGGTAACTTGACTGCTGGCACTGCCACGTCTGCTGCTGCTGCTGCTGCGGTAGTGGGAGTAGGGCGGCGGGGAGGGCAGTGGCAGCAGCAGCGGAGCGCAGTGCGTTGTGCGGGCATGAGGCGCACTTTGAACTGCTGCCCCAAAGGATGAGCCAGGTGGGGTTGGGTGAAGAAGAAGGGGGAACGAGAGGAGAAAAAGGGGGAAAGGGAGATGTCAAACAGGGAAGGATGCATGGAGGGGAAAGTAGGCGAAGGGAGAAGGGCATTGTGGAAAGGCGAGACGAGGGAAAGGAGAGGGGAAGAATATGACGGGATGGATGGAGGGGCGTGGAGGTCAGGTGGTGGGACGCATGGAGTAGTTGAGGCGAGCATGGCCGAGAGGGGGTAGGAGGCCCTGAGGTCAGGGCTCTGGGAGGCATGGCATGGGGTCATAGGAAGCCGATCGGCGATCGCATGGGCAGGGGAGAGAGGGGATTGTGTGAAAGGCGAAAGGGTGTGACGGATGGCAAGGGCCGTTTGCAGTAGCAGTGAGCAGGAAAGCAAGCAGGCAGACATGCAGTCTAGCAGTAGCAGCAGCCTTGCCTTTCCCAGCCTTGCAGCTCATTGCAGCACTCACGCTGTTCGCTCCTCCTGCAGCCGTGCCTCCCCCTCCCTTTTGCAAATCGTCCTTCCAACCTTTTTTCTCTCGATCCCGTATCCCCCATGCCATGCCTCCCTCTCCGCCCCCCCTCCCCCCCCCCCCCCCCCTTCCCCCCTCCCACGTGACTAGCGTGGACTTTGGGCACATGGATGGTGCTCGTTTGTATGTGCATATATTTTTGTGCCTGCCTCTCTCCACCACCACACCATGCAAGCGCATGCCACATCCTTAGCTACTCCCTCTCAAGCTCGTGCTCATGATCTTATCTCGCTTGGTCTCTGTGCTTTATACTGGGCAGATGTGTTGTGTCTGGGTATATGGCAGAGAGACTGGCATCAGGTGGGCGAATGTGTCTCAAGGGAGGTGCCGAATGAGTTTGTGAGGGCGGGGGTGGATGTGATGCTGCTGTAAAGTGGTGGTGGGATGATCATCCTATGTGTGATAGTAATGTGCACAAGGGCTGTGGTTGCATACCTATGCAAAGGAGGGGAAAGTGTACCAATTGCAGCTTCTTTAGCACCCCTTCCTCCCTGTGCCCAACTTCTCTCCACTCCTGTCCCCACAGACATTCTATTACAGCCGGTGCACCAGCGCTGCCACAAGCCCAGCCGAGCTCTCTGGCAGACACTCCGCCACCACTACCTGCTGCCGCCGTACGCTCCCCTCCTCCCTCCTCCCTCCTCCCTCCTCCCTCCTCCCTCCCGCCTCCTCCCTCCTCCCTCCTCACTCCTCTGTACCTGCACCTCACCTCAAGTTCCCTCACATTTTTCCTCTCTCCCTCTCCTGCTTATTCGCACACATACACACACTGTGTTTCTCTCTCATTGATTTTTTTTTTTCCATTCGCTTGCCTCTCCCCCCACCCTCCTCTTCTCCTTCCTCAACCCCTTGCGTCTGTCTGCTTGCGCACCCCAGTTCTGACTTGAATTTCCGGTTCGTTTACTAATCCATCCTCCTTACTTCTCATGTTCCATCTGTCTATACCCTCACCTGGCTCTCCCACTGCATCCTCCCCATCCCGCCTCCCACTGCAGAAATGGCTTCCCGATTTTCAACCCAGACTTCACTCTCCGAGCACCTTCAGAAAAGCAGACCAGCACCAGCAGCAGCAGCAGCAGCAGCAGCAGCAGCAGGAGCAACAACCACGGCGGCAGTGGAGGCAACAGATGACTGGGTTGCTGGAAACAAGTAATTTAACGCTTCTGATGTGTCGGAACATCGAATTGCAAACGAGGCAAATTACAGCGAAGCAACGGCGAGTCAACCAAGGAGGTTGACAAAACGTAACAGCTGGAGGTTACGAGAAGGTCAAAGGTCGGCGACCTTTGACTTGACGAAAGGCAGCGCGACAGCAAGGACACACAACTGACTCGGTACTGAGCAGTTGCCCGAGTCGTCGCTGTATCGAACCGCAACAGCAACAAAACAGTTAAAATGCATCTTTTCGTATTCTCTGTAATCATATAAAAACGTTTTATTACTTTGCTATAATTAATCTCTTGCTCTCACACGCTAGTGCAAGGTGGTTCAACAGTTCATTAAAAACGCTTCCGCAATTACATCATCTCTACTCAGGGTCTTAGCCTTGCAACGATCCTAAGGGCTATTTTTCTCAGCCCAACATGGTATGAGAGCCTCCAAGGCAAGATCCAACCTCATTCAAACTCCTATAACACAAGGCATGGCAACACAGAAGGAGAGAAGCTCCTCTAACGGATCTCCAAGCACTACTCCTACTCCACCTCCAGCCTCTGGCCTACAGACAGAGGGAGGTACAGCAACGAGACCAGCTGCTGAGTATACTGAAACTGTCAGAATGTGATGTTTGTCTAGCCTGCAGTGGGGTACTCTATAGCGAGTACAGCCCGAATTAGGGTTTGCTATATGTACTCAACTGCCTGCTAGTGAAAACTCCCTTTCCTGTTTCTGATTCTTGCCTAGTCTTTCGACATGATATCAGAGCAGGTCGACCCTCCCGGGTCGATCCTGTGGATGGGCCCACCGTTAGCTTCCGCTGCTATTCTGCCTATCGCGCGCCTCGGGCGCGCGTCGTTTTCTCTCTGCCGCGCGCTCAGGGCGCGCGGCGTTTTTTCTTCCCGCCGTGCGCTCGGGGCGCGCGGCGGTTTCCTGCCCCGTCGACCCGCGCGTCGCCCTCCGTCGACGGTCGCGTCGCCCCCCGGGAGCCCGTCGCGTCGCCCCGCAGACACGCGCGTCGCCCCCGCTGCTCCGTCGTGGCGCCCTGGGGAGCCGCGCGCGGCCCCCGCAGCCTCGTCGCGACGCCCTGGGGAGCCGCTCGCGGCCCCCCGCTGCCCCGTCGTGGCGCCCTTGGGAGCCGCGCGCGGCCCCCGCTGCCTCGTCGCGACGCCCTAGGGAGCCGCGCGCGACCCCCCGCCCCGTCGCGGCGCCCTGGGGAGCCGCGCGCGGCCCCCGCTGCCCCGTCGCGGCGCCCTGGGGAACCGCGCGCGGCCCCCCGCTGCCCCGTCGCGGCGCCCTGGGAGCCGCGCGCCATCCCCCGAGCTGCTGCCCGCGCACCCTCCCCCGCTGCTGCCTGTGTTAGGGTTTGGGGGTGACGAGTGTGGGGGTGGCGAGTATGGGGGTGACGGGTGTGTGCGCCGTCCCCTGCTCCTCCTCCTCCTCCGTCTCCCACTGCTGCAGCTGCCGCTGAGGGGGGTGGATGTGTTGGAGCCGTCGGCGTGGTACGAGGGGGGTGGTGTGTGAGCAGTGCTGGAGGTACAGCAGGGGGTGTGTGAAAGGGGTGTGGGACAGCTGGGGGAAGTTGAGTGGAGGCAGCCGTCTTGTCGTCCGCAGCGCCTGTAGTCCGGGGTCTAGCCTGGTAGCCCAGAGAGCCAGCTGCGCCTTGTCAGAGGTCCACTGGTGATCCCCGATGGATTCTGACACGCCTGTCGCCGTGTAGTCCGGGGCTCTACACCTGGTAGCCACAGTGTGGTCGTGTAGTCCGGGGCTCTGCGCCTGGTAGCCACAGTGCTGCGCGCTCCTGTTGCCCCTGTGTCTGCAGCTTCAGCCGTCGCCTCCCATCTTCTCGCCCCCACAGTTTCTCCTCCTCCTCGCTTGCCCTCTGTGACTGCCTCTAGTTTTGCTTGTACTTGTGAACTACTGCTCTGACTGCTTGCTGTACTGATTATACCCCACTTTGACTATGGGGGTGTGTCAGAATGTGATGTTTGTCTAGCCTGCAGTGGGGTACTCTATAGCGAGTACAGCCCGAATTAGGGTTTGCTATATGTACTCAACTGCCTGCTAGTGAAAGCTCCTCTTTCCTGTTTCTGATTCTTGCCTAGTCTTTCGACAGAAACTCCTGCGAACCAAACAACCGGCTTCGACCCAAGCATGATGGATAATGTTTTCTCCTTCATGTCGTTCTACGAGCAACACCAGCAAGCAGCACCTGCACAATCAAACAACAGCGACAACAACAACGGCGTTACCCCCATGAGTCTTGACGGCTCATCATTTGCACGCGGAAATCAGCAACCTCCCTTCGCACCATATGAGCCTCAACGCGGCTCTGTCAGCTTTATGCCAAATCGGCTTCCACCTGGACAAGAAACAAAGACACTGGACGCACTTCAGCTGCAGTCGCAGCTCGCAGCCATCGCCCAGAGCGAACCATCCGGGAAAGATACCTGGTTCTTGGACAGCTGCTGCGGACAACACATGTGTTCTTCAGGTCGCTTCGTTCAACGGGAACAACGTCTTAACCGCGAAGTTGTCATCACCGTCGCCAACAACCAGAACCTGCGCACACGACGACAAGGGATAGTTCAACTTCAGTCCCGAGAAACCAACGTTATTCTGCAAATGTCGAAGGTTTTAATCGCAGAAGAACTCGGCTACAACTTACTCAGTGTCAGTCAACTGATGGCGAAGGGAATCCATCTCGAAGCTGACAGCACCACCCATGATTTCAAGCTGTACAATGGGAAGGGAGGACTCTACATCGGCAAGGCAGTACTGAAGAACAATGTCTTCGTCCTCGACTTCGTTCCAGATCAAGGCACCGCCGACAGCGACGGAATCGTCAACTTCACCTCTTGGACACACCCGCCAGATATCGACCCCGACTTCAGTCCCGGAGGCTTTTGGTACTCACACACCATACCCCAAGCAGAACGGACGAGAGCGTTAGCGACAATCCAACAAATAACAGGAGAAGTAGAGACAACACCGGCAGCAGCAGAAACAACACCAGCGGCAGCAGAGACAACACCGGCAGCAGCAGAGACAACACCAGCAGCAGCAGAGGAAACACCGACTACGACACCAATCACGGGTCCTTCAACAGCACCAATCTTCATCGACGACACTCCACCGACTCCTGCGCAACAGCTGATTCCCACTCCACGCGAAGTCCACAGAAGCGCCAACCTCACCGCCAGCTTCTGCTCCAACTCCGACCTGTACAGGCGATCACCCGGATATCGCGCCAGCGAATCAATCTGGCATGCAAGGATGGGACACCCGAGCAACACAACATTAAATAACACGATAAGAGCTGGTGCAGCTTCTTGGGCTGACGACCAGGCTACGCAGCGGTCGTCACAGGGTTACACCTTCAGCCTTGGTTCCGGCTCTGTTTCGTGGCGGGCTACTCGCTCGTCTTCTGTTCTCGGCTCCAGTTGCGAGGCTGAGATCTACGCCGGGGCCATGGCTGCACAGGAGCTTCGCTGGCTCACCTACCTGCTGACTGACCTCGGAGAGCCGCCTCGTTCTCCTCCAGTGCTCTACGTAGACAACAAGGCCATGCTGGCCTTGTGTCGAGAGCAGAGACTGG